GCCGTAGTACATCAGGGCCCCCCCCCCAGGAGGCCAACATGCGGCCAAAACCTTACGTAACATCAGTGAGTTGGGCATCCTCGCCGAGGCCATTTTGGGCGCTCCAACGTCTCGCGAAACGCCCCCCTCCAAACCTAGGTGAGCCCCTCCCCGCAGGGGAAGAAGAGGGGGGTTGGAAGAGGAAGTTCGCTAGGCCACTCACGCCCTGAAGGGCTGATGGGGTTCTGCTATATGGTGCCACTTGGGAGGCCACCTTGGGGCACCATGAGCCACCTTAGAGCTACGCCAGGCCCAGAATTGCCGCCTGACATACTCTGGGGCGGGGCGGGGGGGGGGCGCACAGCCCCCCAGGGGAAGTGGGGGGGAGGGCGAGGCAGATCCCTCCCGAGTCGTGGAAACAATGGTTTTGTAAGCAGGGAGGGGAGAGTTCGTCGTACCATCTGCGCCCGGAGGTCTGGTGGGACTCGGGGGTGGGAGAGGCAAATCCCTCCCCGAACCGGGCTCTGAAGCAAGGGACCACGAATTCGTCATACCGTGTGCACCTAGAGGTCTGGTGGGACTGGGTCACCTTGTTGTTGATCTCTCTCTGTCTCTCTCTCTCTCTCTCTCTGACGGAGCCGTGCCGTGCAATGGCGTCGTTCGGTCGTACACGCGGTCATTGGTATGTGCTTGCGGATATCACCCCATGGTATAGGTTGCGCACTGATGCCGCACGCGGCTCGTCGAAGTGCAGTATTGCACTTCCTCTCGCCCAGGGGTAGCAGAAGTGCAGCTTGGCCGGGGATGCACGGTGACAGTTGATCTGAAAGCCACGTGCTGCTACACGTCCCCGTTATCCGTTCTCCCCTCCCCCCCCTCTCACCTTTTTCGGTTCAGCGTGCGGGCGCGCAGGATTTGCGAGTCAAGTGGCAGCGATGACCCACACCCGATGTTGCCAGACATTTTCCGCCCTGCCTACGCGCTCCTTGCTCTCGCCGCTGCGGCGGATGGCAGTGCCTTCTCGGGCATCCCCGGCGGTCCTGCAGGCAAGGCCGTGAGACGTGACGCTGCTGCTGCGACGGTGGCCGCGGAGGTGCTGGGGACGGCAGGTGCCATGACCGCAGCTCTGGCCGAAGAGAGCGCACTGCTGGCCAGGACAACGACGCCAACTCCGAAGCGGACTAGGATGGCGACTCCGTCCCCGAAAGCGCGGCTGCTCCACATGCGGGGCGACGCCTCCCCACAGGGCGAACAGCGACGTCTCTCTGCGACTCCCGCGCCGACTCCCACGCCGACCCCCATGCCGACTCCCATGCCCGCGCCGACTCCTATATGGACTCCGATGCTCTTGCCGACTCCCATGCCTGCTCCCCCTCCCATACCGACTCCCATAACGACTCCCATACCTCAGGCCCAGACGACTGACGGCAGTACTACAACAGCGACCGAGGAGACCACCACTCCCGTGGTGGAGATGACGGACGCCGTCACTACAACACCGTCCGCAGACGGTACATCTCAGTGGGGGACGACGCGTGGTGCTACTACGACAGCGGCCGAGGATGCCACCACTCTCGTGATGGAGGCGACAGGTGCCGTCACTACAACACCCGCAGACAGTACCTCTCAGGCGGGGACGACTGGCGGTGGTACTACGACACCGATCGAGGAGGCGACCCTTCCCGAAATGAATACAACAGATGCAGATACTACAACACGACCCGCAGACAGTACATCTCAGTTTGGGACGGCCAGCGGTGTTACTACGACAGCGGTCGCGGAGGCCACCACTGCCGTGGCGGACACGACAGTTGCCATTACAACTGCACCTCCTGGTGACAGCACATCTCAGGTAGGAACGACTGGTGGTGCTACTACGACAGCGGCCGAGGATGCCACCACTCTCGTGGTGGAGACGACAGGTGCCGTCACTACAACACCGCCCGCAGACAGTACCTCTCAGGCGGGGACGACTGGCGGTGGTACTACGACACCGATCGAGGAGGCGACCCTTCCCGAAATGAATACAACAGATGCAGATACTACAACACGACCCGCAGACAGTACATCTCAGTTTGGGACGACCAGCGGTGTTACTACGACAGCGGTCGCGGAGGCCACCACTGCCGTGGCGGACACGACGGTTGCCATTACAACAGCACCTCCTGGTGACAGCACATCTCAGGTAGGAGCGATTGGTGGCGCTACGACGACAGCGGCCGAGGAGGCCACCACTCTCGTGATGGAGGCGACAGGTGCCGTCACTACAACACCGCCCGCTGACAGTACCTCTCAGGCGGGGACGATTGGCGGTGGTACTACGACACCGATCGAGGAGGCGACCCTTCCCGAAATGAATACAACAGATGCAGATACTACAACACGACCCGCAGACAGTACATCTCAGTTTGGGACGACCAGCGGTGTTACTACGACAGCGGTCGCGGAGGCCACCACTGCCGTGGCGGACACGACGGTTGCCAGTACACTGCACCTCCTGGTGACAGCACATCTCAGGTAGGAACGACTGGTGGTGTTATGACGACAGCGGCCGAGGAGGCCAAAGGGTAGTCTTGACAGCGAGATTCAACACGCCATTGTGAATTAACTAAAGCTACGTTGTTTGTTACACGTTCACGTTTTCCAAGTTGTGTGTTTCTACGTTGCGCTTACTACGCTTTGATTTATAGTTTGCGCTTCTCTGTTGTGGTTTTCTACGCTTGTGTGTTTATGCTGCGTTGTCTAAGTTATGGTTTCTACGATGTGTGTTTCTGTGTTGTGCCATATAATGTGGTGTCTCTGTTGTGTGGTTAGGCGTTGTGCATTATATGTTGTGGTTTCTGTGTTGTCTGCGTCGCGTGTTCTAAACCATGTTCTAGCATACGTCGGTTTGCTGCTACGCTGTTGTTTCTACGCTGTGATTTCTCTGTTGTGTGATCCGCGATAGGGGTGTCTGCAATGTGTGTGTTCTGCGACGTGCCGTCAGCGATGCGCAGTCTGCGACGTGATGTCTGCAATGTGTTATCTATGCTGTGTGTCATACACTGGGTCTCTTGCGATGTGGTTTCAACGTTATGGTGTCTCTGTTGTGTTGTCTGCGATGTGTTGCCTGCGATGTTGTTTTCACGTGGTGTTTTCTGCGGGATGGTGTCTGCGAGATATGTCTGCGATGTGTGTTTTCAGGTGCGTCCTCTGTGATGTGTTGTCTGCGATGGGTGTGCCACATAGCGTGGTCTCTGTGTTGGTTCGCTTGTAAGGTTTCGCTCGTGTGTGTTCTCTGTTGTGATGTCCTTGTTATGGTGTCACTAATGTGGTTTCTAAAGTGTGTTGTTTCTGGTGTGCTTACGTGTCGGGGATATCTTGGCGACTTTGTTCTGTTGTGTTGTGTAGTATGTGTTTCTGTGATATGGTGTACGCGCGGTGGTTCAATAGTTTGTGTCGCTGTTGTGTTGTCTCAGTTGTGATGTTCACGTTGTGATGTCTAAGTTCAATGGTTTACGTTGTGGTTCCTTGTCGTGGTTTCTACGTTGTATTTTCTTTGTTGAGGTTTGTATGGTAAGGCTGTCTGTGGTGGTTGTCCATTGGGTTCGGCTGTTGTGATTTCTCTGTGGTGGCTTCTCTGTTGTGATGTCTCTTCTGTGGGTTCTTTGATGTGCGTGTTCTCTGTTGTGTTTCTCTGGTATGATTTCGTTGTTGTGGTTTCGCTGTGCTGCTGTCTCTGCTGCTCCTCATCGAGGCCAAGACCAGAACAGTTGCAGTGCCGATGGTGTTCTCTCAGTAGTGGCGTTTGCGTAGAGTGCGCGTGTGTGTGTTAGCGCAAAAAAACGCTGCGTTTTGATATTGCATGTTTGTGTGTTTGTGATGTTGGTTATTCGCGCGGCGCGGGGGGCCGCCAGAACAACGACAGCGTAAAGCATCGCAGTCAAACACTTCGAAGTTGCAGTGCAGCGTGGCGTTTTCTACGCGGTGTGCTCTGCGTTGTGTTTGTTCGTGGCGTGTGTTTCCACGTAGCACTTTGATATCGAATTGTCTTGTGGTGTGCAGTGCCGTGTTGTGTGTTCGATGCTGTGTATGTTTTTTGTACGTTGTGTTATTTTACGTTGTGATTGATTTCTACGTGTCGTTTTGACATTGTAGTGTCGTGTGGTTTGTAATGTGGTTAGTTCGCGCGGCGCGGTGGGTCGCCATAAAAACTATTGTTTAAAGCATCGTGGCCAAACAGTTCAAAATTGCAGTGCCGCGTGGTGGTTTCTACGCTGTGCTTACACATTGCTTGTTCTACGTTGTGTGTTTGCTGTCTGTTTGGATATTATGTTTCCTTGCGGCTTGTACTGTAGCTCGTTCGCGCGGCGCGAGGGGCCGCCGCAAAAACGATAGTTTAAACATCGTGGTCAAGCATTTCAAAGTTGCATTGCCGCGTGGTGGTTTTTACGTTGAGATATGCACCCATTGTTTTCTACGATTTTGTGTTTACGCATGTTTGTCTACGTCGCGTATCATACGTTGTGGTTTTGTGTTGTGGTGCATACAGGGTCTGCCCTATGTTGTGCTTCTCTGTGTAGAGAACGCGGCATTGAAAACACTGCGTAGATCAACAGCCTACTCTTCGTTGGCGACAGACACGATATGCACTGGTGGGTACCGTAGTTGTGGGTATCGTCTTCGGTCAAGCCCCGCATGTGGGGTCGGGAGTGGTGTCGACCGTGCACGCGGGCACAGCCATTAGTGCCTCAGATGGAGCTCCCTGTGGGGCCACGAAGCGTACGAGGGGTGTGCTGGAATGGTGTGGACTAGGCATGGGATCCCTGGCGGTGGGGCCTTCGGTGGAGCGCACCATGGGCCCTCCAAACGTGTGATGGGTGCGCCGGCATGGCATGCGCCAGGCATGCGGGGCAAGCCAACTGGGCCTCAGGCCGAGGCTCATGTGAAGCCACGAAAAGTGTCCGGGCTGTGCCGAAATCTTGTGGGCGAGACGTGCGGGCCATGGCGCTGGGGCCTGAGGTGCAGCATAAAACCACGAGGCGTGCGAGGCGTGCGCTGGAATGGTGTGGACCAGGCGTGCGGGCCCTGGCGCTGTAGCTTTAGGTGGAGCTCCCTATGGGGCCACGACACGTGTAATGGGGTGTACCAACATGGCGTGGACCAGGCATGCGGGCCTTGGCATCGGGGCTTTCGGGGGACCTCCCTATGGAGACGCGAAGCGTCTGAGGGGTTCGCTGAAAATCTTGTGGACCAGACATGCGGGCCTTGGCATTGGGGCCTTTGTGGAGCTCCGTATGGGGCCACGAAACATGTGCGGGGGGGTGCGCCGACACGGCGTGCGCCAGGCATGCCCAGCCACTTGGGCCTTAGGTGGAGCTGCAGAGGGGGGCCGGGAAACGTGTGAGGGGTGCGCCGAAATGGCTTGGACCAGGCATGCTGGCCCAGCCATTTGGGCATGTGGTGGCGCTCACTATGGGGCCACGAAGCATGTGAGGGATGTGCCGACATGGACACGCGGCGGGAATAGGCAGATATGGGAGGACGGAGGAGGAGGAGGAGGAGGAGAGGGAGGAGGAGTGGGAGAGTGAGTGAGTGGGACGCGGGGCGCTGACCCTTCAAAAGGATGGCCCAACATTAGATGGTTAGTTGGGAAGTCTAGGCCAACACCACGCATGCTTGATTGGGGCTACCTTCGAGCCACGCTGGTGCCCTCTGTGGGATCCGCCACCCCCGAACCCTTCACCTCCCCCGCCCCCGCCCCCCCCCACACACACACACCCCTCCCACGTCTTCCTGGGAAGGTGGGGTGAACATGAGGGGTAGGACCAGGTGAAGGCAGAACGAGCAGGATGAGGAGAACTCTGCGAAAGAAGGAGGATGGCAAAAGAGGAGGAAAGAGCAGAGGAGGCGGAAAGAGGAGGGAAAGAGAGAAGCCCGGAACGCCTCCCGATGGGGGCTCGTCGCCATAAGCTATCTTGAGTTACCCCCAGTGCTCCCAAGCGAACCATAGCAATTCCAGTCACTCGTAAACATTCATTTTTCACAACGATCCTGTGGTGTTGGGTGTTTGTTTTGAAGAGACCGCGCCCCGCGTCCACTCCTCCCGCTGCCCCCATAGGTTCGCAGGCGGTTCACCCCTCCATATCGGCGCACCCGTCACACGTTTCGTGGCCTCATAGGAAGCTCCACCGAAGGCGCCAGTGGCAGGTTCCTCACGCGGTTCCACCCTTGATTTCGGCGTACCACTCACACGCTTCGTGGCCTCATGTGGAGCTCCAACGACGGCGCCAGTGGCAGGGTCCGCATGCGGTTCCATCCCCCATGCCGGTGCACCCGTCACACAATGCGTGGCCCCATAGGGAGTTCCACCGAAGGCTGTAATGATAGGATTTGCATGCAGTTCCACCCCTCATGTCGGCGCACCTCTGACACGTCTCGTGGCCCGCATGCGGTTCCACTCATTTGGGCGGACCTGTCACACGCTTCATGACCCCATAGGGAGAAGCTCCACCGAAGGCCCCAGTGGCAGGGTTGGCATGCGGTTCTACCCTTTCGCGGGGAGCCCGCACACGTCTCGTGGCCTCATAGGGAGCTCCACTGAAGACCCCAGCGGAAGGTTCCGCAGGCGGTTCCACCCCCCACTTCGGCGAAGTGCACGTTTTGTGGCCCCAGGGTGATCCAACGAAGGCCCCAGCGGCAGGGTCCGCATCCCAAGTCGGCGCATCCCTCACACCTTTCGCGGCCCCATTTGGGAGCCACCGAGTGCCCCAGTGGTAGGGTCTGCATGCGGTTCCACCCTCCATTTTGGCGTATCCCTCACACTGTTCGTGGACCCATGGGGAGTTCCACCGAAGGCCCCAGAGGCAGTGCCCGCATGCGGTTCTATCCAGTTCAGCGCACTCCTCGCTTATGGTTGGGTCTTCTTTGCCCGGGTAATGTAATGACCGATTGCCCCTGATACTAACACCCGGGGGATAATGAAGTTCGAAGTTCTCCGGGGGGGTAATAAACGATTTCTCCCCGCAAGTCGCACGAGGGATGTAGGACGAGGAAAAAGAGGTCGTCGTCGCCGTAGCACGAAGACGACGACGACGACGACGACGACGACGACGACGACGATGACAACCTAGCCCTTGGCCCTGCCACACGTTCGTGACTTCGGCGGGGATCACAAGGAGAAGATGGGAAAGAAGAAAGAAGGGGAGGGGAGGAGGAGGGTTCGATCGGAGAGTGGCCCCAAGACCAGCTTCCGAAGCAGAAACACGGTTTCGGGGCACTGCGCCCCCTAGTTGTAAGACCGCCGAGTGCTATTGTTCCAAACCCTCCCCCGGTTGGGTACTCGTTTTGAATTGGGCACCGTCGCCCCCGTCCTTCTCTTCTCCTCCCCCCGCCTCGTCCCTCCCGTGGTGCCCTGGCCTTGTAACCCTTTTCAGGCCCGGGACATCGCCTTGCATACCTGCGGGCACGGTCTATTGACTGTGCCCGACTTTTCCTTCACTGCTGATGCCCGGTGCTATCACTTTGACTGCACTGCTGCAT